CTCTCTTCCTCTGCTCCAAGGGAGGCTAAGATCCAATGACTCACCTTTTCCCTTGCTGAAAATTAAATCTGCCTCTGAAAAGCAATTTTGCTTTTATAAAGTCATAGTTTATAGAATGTCAGAAATCATTCCCCAGGGGCCACTTGAAAATGAATCATCAAAGATACCCAAGTCAGAAAAGGCGATCAATCATGGGGCCCAGGCATGTCAGGCCAGCAGGCTCATGACTTTGCTTTGCAAGAAATGGAGAGCAGGAAGAGATAGGTGAGGGACCCATGTCCTTATACAGGCAAGGTCAAGGGGTGGAGTCTCCCCTTCCCTGGAGTTACCATCTTCCAGGGAGACCAGAAATCCAATGTACACAATGACTCAGTATCACAGGGGTGGCCTGGACATTTCCACACCTGGATTAAATAGCAGAAACCAAGTTATCAGACTGAAAACCTGGAGAGTCCTAGAGAGGTGCTAATCCCAAACTACCCGAGTTGAAGTAGAAGGAACATTTTTCCCATCGAACCTGAAGAGTGGGGAGAAGAAAAGGGCTTTGTAGTCTGACTCAGACTGCTGATTGCATGTTATAAAACTTGGCTACAAAATCTATGCTCTGCAAAATCATTGCTTTCTTCACTTTTCGCCTTTTCTTTTTACTTCCCTTTAGTTTTATAAGGAAAAACACTTTTCATTTTAAGCCCACAGAGAGTCTTTGTGACCTCATTCTCCCGGGAGTCATTGCTGTTAAAGCAACTAAGCAAAGCAGATATGCAGAAAAATAATGTGATGGCAAAATAGGCCCATTCTCTCATCAGAGAGGGATTTGGGGAGAGGAAGGAGGAAAGCATAAGACATTGGAGAAATGTCAATTAAAAGCACTTGTATAAACATTAATCCGAGATGGAACATTCTGGATATGTGATGTTCAAAGCCACATCAGCACTTCAGGCAAAAATGACATTTCTTCCTTAGCTTTAGGAGCTAAAAGAATCCTGAAGGCCATGCACCTTCAAACACCTTTAAAAAGTGTAGTCGTTTCTCAAAAACTCCGCCTGAAATGTGTGATTTTATATTTGGATATAAAACTCAAGCCATTACACCTGTGTGTTTACTGAACTTTTTATAGATGTAGATTTACTGGGCAACCATTGATATTGTCTTCGGTGAGTACACGCTGTTCTGTGCCTGGAAAAGGTTTGCTGTGTCTATGCGGTTGCTTAAATGTCAGAGCTGCTGCTGCGGCAACCCCTCCTACCTCAGGGGGGCCGTGTGCAAACCCACTTGCCTTAGTAAAGAAGCAAAGCTCTAGGAGAACAGAGGAAGGATAGTAAAAGGTCCTTTTGTGCACCAGCCCTGCCAGAGAACTCTGTCTGCCTTGACACCGAGCTCACTCAGAGCTTGAAACATGCAACACCAGTTAATCATACAATTGCTGGGAGATGCACAGTCACTGTATAATTAGTGATATTTTTTTTCAAAGGAATTAGCATGTAGTTGCTACGAACAACATGCTCTATTTTGTGGAAACTATGCAATTAACCTGTTCTGGGTTAATAAATTAAATGTAGCATAAGCTCGTATAACAGCTGCTCAGAAGGAGGGGCTGGCTGGCAACGCGTTTACCGAGATTACTTTGAACTTGTTAGCCTTTATACTCACTGTAGAGATAGGTGTGTCCTGCTTTAAGGAAGTTATTCTCATCTCCACCTTTACTAAAAATATATTTGAGGGAGTTTGAACATGCTTGGATCGGGGAGAGAAAGTGTGAAATAAGGAGGAAAAACTAGTGAAAATGATGCTAAATCATTGGACACTAATTTGGAGTTGAAATAGAATGACAACAAAATATATAGAAATCTATACTGGGGGTCCATACTGGCACATGACACATGCAGAGATTCAGTTTATAGGCAATTTATCAGGAATACAATTGGGGGAGATAAGAGATCAACCAAAGGACTTGTATGCATGCATATAAGAATAACCAATGGTCGCAAAACTCTGGGGAGGGAGGGCATGTATGTGAGTGGAGGGGGGATTGGTAATGTATGTACACATATAATACCTTAAAAAGATTAAAAAAAAAGGAATACATTGATTACAATTAAGAAAACATATCCAGGAAGTTTTGATTATTTATGATAGATTAAAAGACTCATTAACTCCTCTGTCTTCTGCCCATTTAGATTTAGTGATAATAATTAACTTAGATTTGTTTGAAAAATAGGAAACAGTCCTCGAGGGTTTACGAGGGTTCTGAAGGAGTTTATTGATCCCATTTGGACCCCTTTTAGAATTCAGCTTTGGTGTTTTTGAAGATAATTCCTAGTGCCTCCCAACTTAGGTAAGAATTGCTAGAACTGGAGGGCTGAGACCCTAGTGCCAGTCCTTCGATGGATCTAGGACATCTGGGATATCTTTCAGCTACCAGCGAGGGGTACTGTCCGACCTGTGACAAAGAACTCTGGTTGGGGTGTGGTTAAAAGCCAGGCTCAGTGACGGGAAGGAAGAAGTTTCTTTCTCCAAGTCTTCTGCTTGACTGGAAATCACAAGCCGACCTGATCCATTCACTTTTGGAGGCAGGTGTCACACATTCTTATTCTGACACTGCCCCTCCTTTGAGCGTTTCTGCAGTTGCCAATCCACGTGAGCACCAGTGAGAAAAGGGGAAGGAGGTCTGATGGTTATCTCCCTGGAAGTGAGGCAGTGGCCTATGCTCTTCAGGCATCGGTGAATCAGGGAACTAGGCAACTGTGCAAAGACTTCAAACCAAGTATTTTACTTTTGATCAAACCTTCAACACATGGATTGGAATATGTTTTGTTTTTTTTCTTCCCTGTGTAAAAGAGTACATTCAATAGACTAAAGTGTCATTTCATGGTTTTTCACTGAAGTACACCCATGGCCAGTCTAATAACAAAAGGGAGTGCATGACTGATGGCATTTTCTTGACTATTTTTATATTTTAAAAGTAAAATCTAGATTTAATTAGTTTCTGAATAAAGAGAAATCTTTTTCTTGGCTATTTAGACATACTCATAGCAGAACCATAAGCTATATAAATATGGCAAATAATGCTTTTATGTTTTTAGCAGAATATAATTATTGAATATATTTCATGCAACATTAATTTTGTGAAGCAAGAATATTAAATTAGGTTAGTTAAACTATTCTATGAATTGATTTTTATAATCCTTTATTCCTGAATATGTTACATTTTAAAAATGATCCAAAGATATGCATTTTTGTTTAGTACTACATCAACACTATTTTAATGAACCTTAGTAAAAAAAATATATGCTTGTACCCATTCTGGTGTCTGCTACATTTATTTGCTATCTTCTTTAAGTTCAAAATTGAAAGAGAAAATTCATCTTCAATAAAAGTTTCTGTCATCAACATAAAGATAAAAATTATTTCATCTGTTCAAAGTTTGTTAAGATTTAATGCTCTTCGAATTTGCTCTGCCAATTTATTTCCTTTCTTTATTGCAGAAGTCTTTTTGAATCACAAAGAGGGAAATCCATACTCCAAGTCACATATATTCTCATTTCTCTAGACGTTATTTTTTTAAAAAAATACTTTATTGATTTTTTACAGAGAGGAAGGGAGAGGGATAGAGAGTTAGAAACATCAATGAGAGAGAAACATCTATCAGCTGCCTCCTGCACACTCCCTACTGGGGATGTGCCCGCAACCAAGGTACATGCCCTTGACTGGAATCAAACCCGGGATCTTTTAGTCTGCAGGCCCATGCTCTATCCACTGAGCCAAATCGGTTTTGGCTCCAGATGTTATTTAGAAAAGAAAAAGGTAGTGAACTTCCTGGTCAGAGAAGATGAAAGGAGATGAGTTTCCGTTTATAGTAAAAGCTAAAAAGATAGCTGGGAAAAGAGGTGCTGGCAGGGCTGTCTGTTCATCAAGCAAGGAACAGGGCTCTGAGGAGCCTGGGAATGGGGATGGACAGGCCTGGGCTCTGCCTCCCAGTTCTGGCAGCATGCTGGAAAATTACCCAACAGCCCGACCCACTCTTTTCTCACTTGCAAAAGTAGGATAGTCCTTTACTCATAAAGTAGCTATGAGAATTCAACTAAATGATGTAGTGTATCTAGAACACTTAGTAGACATGATCATCATTTTTGAAAAAAGGTGTGCATTATCCATATCAAGCTTCTAGACCCTTCCCTGAGAAAAACTATTCTATGCTTAGGTTATGTGTGACTATGAGGTTATCTTGTTAGAAAAGCAGTTGGATGTTTTTAATATGGAAAAGATTTCTCGATGCACAGTTTGGTTAGCTAATCAGAAAATTTGAAGATTTTAAGAGTATTTAGAGTTTATGAGTTAATGCCTTCAAAGCCAGTTGTAGATTCAAAAAACAAAAGTATCCCTCAAGCCTTTCTTTCTTCTTCACCCCAGAGAACTGCTGCGCATGCTCCAGGGAACTGTCTCAGGCATACAAAGTCAAGCAGCAGAATCATCATAAAAACATATCATACCCTCTTAAGGCTCATGGACGTAATTTCTGTAATTACAAACATTATGTAATTGTTACTTATATAACACTTGCTTTTATTTATCCCTTCTTTGATTTGGACATGTCTTAATCACTTTTATATACCAACAATATATATTTAGCGGGTTACCAATATCAATATTCTTGCTGAGTAGAATAAATGAGTGAGTAAGTAGACGAGTACAGAAAGGAGTGTTACTCGTTGAGGCCGCCCTTGGATATGTTTCCTGTTAACAGAAACCAAACTACTTGCCTCTGTGACTTAGGGATGAATGAGAGCAGCTTTCTCCTGTCTGCGCCGATGCCAGGAAAAACTGTTTTTTATTTATTCGAACCTGTGTAACCCTTTTCTCATTGTCTGATAACCTACCAACCTGCTGAGGAGTGCTAGTAATTACAAAACATCACTTTTCAGTATAGTGATGGCTTTTAACTGTGTTTGGAGGAGAAGGACTTTTTGAGGATGCTCAGAGGCCAACATGGACCAAAATCTAACTGAAGGAATACACAGAAGGGGGCACCACTTCTTTTTTTTTTGAGGGAGTAGGCCTGCTTTGATCTGTTTTATGTAATGAGGCTCCATTCAAGATCCTGCCTGGGCTATAGGATACTCCATTTAAAAGATCCGAAGCCGGAGTTCTTGATGACACAAAGTATTAAGAAGAATTACCCTCTGAAGTCCAGGAAGCAAGACAGGCTTGAGTTCTCCTAGGCTACCCTGTGAGACACGGAAGGAAGACATATAAAAAGGGCGTGCTGAGTGATGAAGCTGGCCTCCCGAGCAAAGAGCACGGGTAGCTTTGTTTAAAGATATCTGTGAAGTTGCTTCAGGCAGGGAGCAAATTTGCTTATTCTCCAGGATAATAAGGTAGTTTTCCTGCTGCTTTGGAGATAATCCAGGGTAATAAAGATAATATCTCCCTCTGAGTCAGCAGGCAGATTTGTTTTCTGATCAGGATATATAAAGATAATGTGGCTCTCTGTAGGGGTGGATGAACAGGTTTCCTAATAGCTCCTTTAATAGCTTAGTGTTTCCTAAACTGGAGGTTCCCTGCCTATGCTCTATCCACAGGGCATGCAGGGCCTAGCTGGACCTAAGTCGTCTGCATCACTGTCATGGGACTTGAGGGGCAAGAGGAACCACTGTGAACACGAAGCTCATGCTGTTTGCAGTGCCAAGTGTAATAAACAGTTCACATCCACGTGGGCGAATTGTCTCTGTACTGGCTGCACCTATGGAAGCTTGGCAAACTGACCTAGCAGCTGCAATGATGGCTGCTGTTCAGGATCAGCTTGGCTGCTTGACAGGTAGGTCCTTCAACTCTTTTTTTTTTTTTAAATATATTTTTATTGATTTCAGAGAAGAGAGAGGAGACAGAGAGAGATAGAAACATCAATGATGAGAGAGAATCCTTGACCAGCTGCCTCCTGCACACCCCCTACTGGTGATCAAGCCTGAAACCTGGATATGTGCTCTTGGCCATAATTGAACCCAGGACCCTTCAGTCCACAGGCCAATGCTCTATCCACTGAGCCAAACCAGCTAGGGCAACTCTCACTCTTACCTATGCTCTTTACTTTATAGGAGAGCCCCTGGTCATGTGATAGACTTTAGTAAGAGTATTCATAATAATATTTGGTTATGCATCATGACGTTTGGAATGTATGCCCTACATATGCACCATGTTTGAAACAAAACTAATATTTCTCTTCCTTTTATCTTAAAGAGTATTTTTAAAAAATCTATCCACCAAAGTAAATATTTTGCAGCTTTTAAAAAATATATATTTTATTGATTTTTTTAGAGAGAGGAAGAGAGAGGGATAGAGAGTTAAAAACATCGACGAGAGAGAATCATTTGTAGGGAGTAGGGGTGGTACTGGGTAGAAAGGGTCAATGGGGAAAAGGTGTCTATCTGTAATATTTTCAATAATAAAGATAATTTTTTAAAAATATATTTTATTGATTTTTTTACAGAGAGGAAGGGAGAGAGAGAGTTAGAAACGTTGATGAGAGAGAAACATCGACCAGCTGCCTCTTGCACATCCCCCACAGGGGATGTGCCTGCAACCAAGGTATATGTCCTTGACCAGAATCGAACCTGGGACCTTTCAGTTTGCAGACTGATGCTCTATCCACTGAGCCAAACTGTTTTCGGCCCAAAGTAAATATTTTGGATATGAAATTCTGGTCAACTGAAAACAATGCTCCTGATGTTTTATTGCACATATGAACTATAATACTTGGAGAGTTTGGTACAAAAGCAGATTACTGGATTCCGTCCCCAGGGAATCACATTCAGTGGCTCTGGAGAGCCAAGCTGTTTTCTCATAATAAGACCCCAGGTGATTCTCTCTTGCTGGAAAAGGTCACACTTTAAGAAACAAGATCTTAGAAGACATAATAGTGTCCTTTTAAGTAAAAAGAAAAAGTGAGATAACATCCACAATTTCCTTCAAACTCTGAAGGTTTGATTGGTGAGGCAGGGAGGGAGGAGCAAAGTGTCCACATTGTGATACACTGACTCAGCACTTCACCCCAAATTCAATTCTAAAATACTGGAACCACTTCAGGGGTCCCTTTGTAAAGGCCTCACTATCACACGCTCCCCTTCCCACCCTAACAATGACAGCAGGTATTACTGACGTAACTGGCCCAGAAATTATTCACCCTGGGGAAAACTGATTCTTCAGTATAATGTCTTGGACAGTAAATCTTTTTTATTTTATTTTATTAAATCAGTTTTTATTTTAAAATTATAGTTGACATACAATATTATATTAGTTTCAGGTGTATACCCCAGTGATTAGACGTTATATAACTTACTGAGTGATCATCCTGATAATCACTCCAGGATAATAAGGGTCATCTTTTCCTTTTTTCCCCTTCTTCTTAAAGATGCTTTCTACCTATGCTGAGCTTGGAGGTGGCCCAGGAGAGGCCAAGGTGCATACCAAGGCCTGCTGCTGCTAGTGCTGGGCCTGGGGCCACTTAGAGAGAGCTACTGGGCATGATGAGGCCAAATGCTGCTTGTTTGAGAGATTTTAGGAAAGTGAAGCATGAGCCAAGACAGGCAATTTGTATGAAAAAGCTACTGGAAGCAGGTTGGGTGGTGCCGAAAGGAGGGTGGAGTGAGGCTTCAGGGAATCACCAGGGTGGGGTGAACAGTGTTAGCCAGGTTGATGGAAACTCAGATATGGGCATGTACCTGCTGGCTCTGTGGGGGAAGGGCTAGTCAAATGAATAATGGCTTCTGCAGAACTTCTATCTGGGAGCCCAGCCCTTCTGGCTCAGTGGTTGAGCATCAACCCATGAACTAGGAGGTCATGGTTTAATTCCTGGTCAGGACACATGCCTGAGTTGTGGGTTTGGTCCTCAGTATGGGGCATTCAGGAGGGAGCTGATCAATGATTCTCTCTTATCATTGATGTTTCTCTCTTTCCACTTCCTTCCTCTCTCTGAAATCAATAAAAACAAGAACAAAAAGAACTTTTGTCTGTGAGAAAGCTGCCCTTCCAGCTCTTGTCTTGATGCCAGATAATTCATTTCTGCCTCATATGTCCCTGGTGCCTTTTGAGCTGCGATTGCAATACTGGAGCTCGGAGTGAGTGAATGCAAGTAAGTCTGTGTGGGTCCTTTAAGATGAACTGCCTGGGACTCAGGCATAACACCCCCTCGTTTTTATAGCCAGAAATTATGGGGTCTTCTCTTCTCAGCACTGGGTCCCTGGGCTGGAATACCTGGTGTGGGGCTGGGATCCATCACTCTTCACAGGGGCAGAGATAGCCTTCCTAATTTTTATCCATCACTTGTGCGTGGGACCTGCCTGTTCTACATGTCTGCCCTCCTACTAGTCTTGATGTGGCTTCTTCTTTAAATCTCTACTTGCAGGGCTTATATTCAGCTAGATTTCAGGAGGTTCTGAATGATGGTTGTTCTGTAATTTAGTTGTAATTTTAAAGTGGTTGTGGGAGGAAGTCTTCTTGTAATATGTGCCTTGGTGCAGAGTGAAGATTTGCAGTGCCAATTTGAAGCTAGACTAAGCCTGTCCACCTGCCAAAAGACTGAAAGTACTCCCGTAAGGCTTCCTAGTCCCTTTATTATGTTCTGTCAACTAGTTTTCACATCAGGGCAGCCTTCTGGAACTTTCCATGTGGGCTGATGCTCATCTATTTTGCAGTACATTTGTAGTTCGTGAATTAATTTTAACATCTATTTTGTTATTAATCCTATTTGGTGTTAACTCTGGTTAACATAATTCATATATTGAAGCCCTAACCCCTAGTACCTCAGAATGTGACTGTATTTGGAGATGAAGTCTTTAAAGGGGCAATTAATTTAAAATGAAGTAATTTAGGTGGGCCCTCGTCCAATATGACTGGCAGAGGAAATTGGACACAGACATTTCAGGAGACCATGTGAAGACAGGAAGACAACAGACATCTAGAAGCCAGGCAGAGAGGTAATCCTGTGTACACCCTGATCCCTGTCTTTTAATCTTCTGAACTGTGAGAAAATAAACTTCTGTTTAATCCACCAGTTTGTGGTACTTTGTTGTAGCTGCCCTAACAAATGAGTACATTGAGTTTTGTTTTTTGTTTTTTAATGGCCTCTAAAGGCAGGTCCCTCCTATATTAGAATAAGTTTGATTGTAATCCTTCTTCTAGCATTAGAGGGCATCTTTAGTGGGTCAAACCTTAGACAGCACCAATTGATATTAAGATCCTTGTTTTATTCTGCTCATTAAATCTTTTTGGATAGTACCTAAGAATCTCAGCCTTAAGCAACAGAATTACTAGATTGTCTTAGGGGGTATTTCCCTCAAATGAAGGGATCTAGGTGGCAGACAGATTTGTCAGAAATTGTATATTCTAGGTGATGTGGACATATACATTTGTACTAAAGTTCAGACTCTCACGAAACTTATATTTAGCATGTGTGATGTATGTGTGGGTCAGGAGAATATGCCAAAACTATACACTTAAATGAAAATATAACATGTCAAGTGGTAAAATAGCAGGGTAAGGGGAAACAAAGACTGGGATCTTGTATAGAACCTAGGAATGGGGATGGTATTTTATAAAGGGTTGTCAGAAAGGCCTCTCTGAAGTGGTAACCTTTATGCAGAGTCTGCATGAAGCGAGGGATTCATAGATGTGCCTTTTTCTTTCCTCAGATTCCCTTCCAAAGAAGCACTTTCTTCCCCAGTTGCTGGAAAGTTGTCACCAGACAGCATTCAATGTCAGGACTCTCAGGGATTGCCTCAGCTGGAAAGAGCTGCTCTCTCAAGGATGTGGCCTTCCTTCAGGTAGCTCACATCCAATGATGATCAAGCTGGGTGTTTAAAAGCTCATACAGGACCTACCTGACAGAGTCCTAGGGCCAGCTGTGGCCGACCCTTCCTTGCTTCCTTTTCCTTCTTTTCAAAGCTGATTCCAAGAACACCCCTCATACCATCCTTTGTGCAGATGTCTGTTTCAGGGTGGGCTTCCTGGAGGACCCAATCTGTGACAGGGAGGGAGCCATGAGGACATCTAAGGAGGAGCCTTTCCTCAAAGAAGAAACAGTAAGACCTAAGATTCTTAAATACCACCCTACGGCAATGACATGGCTACACAAAGAACGGATGGAACAAACCTGCTTGGTTTTGTGTGGGCATCCCAGAGACACCAGATAGAGGTAACACAGAGCTGGCCAAGGGAGGCAGGAACTTCCTTCTATGGAGTAGTCCAAAATTTCTTCAGTCGGAGGAAATTAAAAAAAAAAAAAAAAAAAAAAAAGACACAGAAACAAAACTGGCTTTGGTTTTGAATTAAAATATAAATCCAGCCGAAACCGGTTTGGCTCAGCGGTAGAGCGTTGGTCTGCGGACTGAAAGGTCCCAGGTTCGATTCCGGTCAAGGGCATGTACATTGGTTGCAGGCACATCCCGGGTAGGGGGTGTGCAAGAGGCAGCTAGTCGATGTTTCTCTCTCATCGACATTTCTAGCTCTCTATCTCTCTCCCTTCCTCTCTGTAAAAAATCAATAAAATATATTAAAAAAATAAAAAAATAAATAAATCCAGCAGGCTTATTTGAGACCTCTAGGGTAAAGAGGCATGCGATTTCTCCCACTGATGAATAGTCAGGATACTCCCCAATCTCAGGGATGTGCTGAACCAGTTTTCAAGCCCAAATCCCACATCTGAGCTCCAACTCACTATAAGCCTTTTCCTCTTTCTCCTCCTCCTATTCTTCTTCCTCTTCCTCCTCCTTCTCCCCTTCCTCCTCCCCCTCCTCCTCTTCTTCATCCTCTCTTTTAAACATAATCTTCTCATCCACCTTCATTTTCACATTCAAGGCTCTCAGAGGGGAAGGAGAACAGGTTTGCTCAGGATAACACACTAATTGATCTATTTGGTCTTCAAAAATGCTGTTAGTTAAAAAGAGGTTATGGAACTTAATCATAGAAAACAGACAGTACCTCCTTAACCGCATCCCTCCCAAATAACAACACGAAGCACAATGCTTGAAGCAAGTTTGAGGAGAAGATGGAAAAGAACCCAATTTTCTTTGCCAAAGAAAATAATTCAAAAATCGTCTTTTTATTTACATGGGACATAGGGAAGAAAGTGTGCATGAAACTGACAAGCTTAAATGGATATCATTAAATAAAACCCCACAGTGTGAGGTTCAAATAATTATTACAGTTCTTTCTACTTATGTCTGTAATAGGATTTCCAGTTCATAAACCAGTCAACACCTCAATTGTTTACTCAAGATTGTGTTAGATTTTTGAGGGAGTAAGTTTAAATGCCTGGTTATTTAAAGTACAATGAACTATGATCATTTGTATGACTAGAATGAGCCATACATGGGGATGGCAAGCAGCACTTTCATCTCCAGATTATTTTTGGCTCTTTGTTCTCGGGAACAATTTTTTTTCTTCTTACTGCTCACAACCCCACAAGGTCTGTATCACAACCTGCTTAGGATAGATAATGGAAATTTAGGATTTTATCAGAATATAAGCCAGTCCTAGGCCCATAGTGTTGTTAGGGAAAATACTAGAAAACTAGTTGAACCTTATCTCCAGAACATTTTCATCACCCTAAAAAGAAATTTGCACCCATTACCCTTTCCCTAGTCTCTGACAACCACTTAGCTACTGTTTGTCACTATAGATTTGCCTATCACCTACCTTATATTTGAAATCTCTTAGTTTATTACTCTACTAACCTTCTAAAATTCTCCCCCTTTGCACTAAATAGCCTTTTAAATTTAATTGTACTAAGCTGAAACTCTTCTAATTTAGGGAGGTTCAGTGAAGAACCATGCATTTAATTCCATAAATCCTTTGAAGGTACATAAAGCTTCATGTTTAAATTTTTCCTCTTTTTTTGTGATTTCTCTTTTAGATAAATCCAATTCAAGGATACAGATTAGTAAAGAAAGGAAAGGAAATATAAGAAGCACATAGAGGAGGAGGAAGTGGAGGAGGAGGAAGGGGGAGGAGAAGGAGAAAGAGGAGGAGGAGGAAGCGGGAGGAGAAGGAGAAAGAGGAGGAGAAGGAAGGGGGAGGAGAAGGAGAAAGAGGAGGAGAAGTCAACTGAACAGTCCTGGTTACCTCAGACTGCTCTACTAGCAACTTCTGTCACATCAGGCCTTCTATGACATGACAAGGTTGCTGGAATTGCTAGGAGAACCCAGTCTGAAAACTTTCAATAAACAAGTCATATAATTATGAGGCAGTACTATAACACCAAGGTGAATTTTTTTATTTTATTTATATTTTATTGATTTTTTACAGAGAGGAAGGGAGAGATATAGAGAGCTAGAAAGAGAAACATCGACCAGCTGCCTCTTGCACACCCCCTACGGGGGATGTGCCTGCAACCCAGGTACATGCCCTTGACTGGAATCGAACCTGGGACATTTCAGTGTGCAGACCGACGCTCTACCACTGAGCAAAACTGGTTTTGGCACCAAGGTGAACTTTTAATGATTCTATTGCTTAGTGAAGAATCTCCTTAATCCTCTATCTCTTATGTCTTCATTACATCTCACTCTAAAAAATAACCACTACATAATAATGTCCTTTATCTCTACTGCACCCTTAATCTGAAATATGTTAGCCTAAGGATTCGGTATGCTACCTGTTTGAACTTTGCTCCAGACCTGTGCTTTCTCTCTTCCTGGGAAGGGCTGTCCTTGATTACAGTACTCCCTGGGCCTGCCAGGCGTTCAGCACCCCTGCTCATAGTTGTTTCTAGGGCAGACTGTCCTGAGCATGGCCTGCTGGCATCACAACTGGTGCATGACTAAGTGGTGTAATCTGCCCAAAATATTTTCTGATTTAGCCCAGGTTGCTTATGCCGCTGCTGCCTCTCTCTCCCTCCACCTCCTCCTTTTTGCCTAATCAGTGCTTGGGGGATTTCTTGCCCAACTGTTAGAAATGTGTTCCTGCCACATCCATCAGCCATCCCCTGTCCCATCTGGAATTCTCTATATCAAATTTGAAACATCCTTCAGTCCTTATTTCCACATAGTTCTGCACTGGTCTAAAACAGGAGACAAAACGCACCACCAACCTGTTTGAAATACTCAGTATAAATGCCTCATTTATTTTTATTTAAAAATTATCTTTATTGCCGAAACTGGTTTGGCTCAGTGGTAGAGCATTGGTCTGCAGACTGAAAGGTCCCAGGTTTGATTCCGGTCAAGGGCATGTACCTTGGTTGTGGACACATCCCTGGTAGGGGGTGTGCAAGAGGCAGCTGGTCGATGTTTCTCTCTCATCAACGTTTCTAACTCTCTCTCTCCCTTCCTCTCTGTAAAAAAATCAATAAAATATATTTTTAAAAAATTATCTTTATTATTGAAAATATTACAGATAGACACCTTTTCCCCATTGACCCTTTCTACCCAGTACCACCCCTACTCCCTACAAATGCCTAATTTTTTAACTTATCATTAAGTCATTGAGTTTTACTAAGCTTCTCCAAGTATACACATATCATTTCTCCATGTTTTGTAGTCACTATTGGATGACAGGAGTCAGTGATGGGGGTAGTTAAGTGTCATTTCCTTTTCTTTTCTTTCTTTTAAATTAAAGTATAGTTGACACACAATATTATATTAACTTTAGGTGTACAACATAGTGATTTTGACATTCATGTGGGTGTCTGTTCTTTTTCTAGATTTATTCTTTTAGAGCATAAGTGACAAACTCAAAAGTCAATGGGGTGGGATGCGTGATGAAGGTGGAGGTTAGAGTGCAGAGTGCTGTATGAAGAGCTATATGAGTGAGGGCAGTCAGCTTTGTGAATGTATTTCATAATAGCATTACAACATCCCAAAACAAATCTCTTTTGACACCTTAGTTTTTTAAAAATTTTTATTTCTATTTATTTTTATTTCATCTCACTTGTCTTTTTTCTTTTCTTTTGTACAGAGGTCATAGTTCATGTAGTGGCTTGTTTTATAATATCTTAATGTGAATGTCTTCACTTAAAATACACTTTTCACATCATATCTGTGGAAATAATTTTTACTT